TACTTGAGGATCTTCCTAAAATAGTAGAACATATGCCCATTCAATCGGAATTGAGCATCTTTATTGAGATTCCCCGTCCAACATCTAAAAGGTGGTCCTAAGGATCTTCTTGAAAACAAATGCCTATTCAAACGGAATTGAGAACAAAATACCCATGTTTATTGAGATTCCGCGTCCACCATCCAAACGAGGGTTCTTACCTTGAGCCTTGTCTCAAATATATCATTCGGGTTCTCCATCTGATCCATCATGTAGCTATGTAAATGACATGCAAAAAGTTTGGGACCTTGGTCCTGTAAAAACCATAGTCATTACGATAAAGCCAAATTGCCCAAAGCAGAGCGCACACCTCGACACCAAAGAGCACATTTGAGGAATCTTGAAAGCAATGAGGACGTGGAGCATAAACACCGTCATTGCCGAGGCCAACCAATGAATATCGGGCATGGTTTTTCACCCAAGAGCTCAAGATGTTCTGTGTTGCCATCATCACTTGCCGAAGAAGGCGATGTTGCATGGAAGGGTACACCCACACACAGTGAGGAAGTACGAGGTTGTAGATGTCATGGTGGAGTTGTGGAGGGTCAGCCAGCGAGTGTCGCGTCAAGGAATACGATCAACCGGCTACAAGGAACAGGGGAAAAGAGGAGCGGCAGCGGAGAGCCATCAACTCGGCCATCTTGAGCCAGCCAAATGTGAAATGAACTAGGGAGCGAGCTTTGCACAAGTGCAGAAGAACGATGTGAGGGATGACAAAGTCTTGGCCAGACGGCTATCAATGCAGTGAAAAAGAGATGTGAGGTATATGCGTATGATATACCCCGTGCATGCATTCACCGTGCGTCATCGCTTTGATATTGATGCCACATTTTCTAAAAAAAAATTAAACTAAATCTTGGTTTCAAACTGTTACACATGATGTTTCGTTGTGTTCTTCTCATGTTTCAAGATGTATCATAATGTTTCGTTGTGTATTGAAATGAGCAAAATGACCCATAAAACATTGCATGACACTACAAAACAAAGCAAATTTTGTCACAGATGGCAAAAATCTCGAAGCAACGACGGATGGTGTATAGATGTTCTCCCTCCGTTCAGATATATAGGGCCTAATACATTTCTTGAGATTGCCTTTGACCATGGGTTAAAGCAATAATATATGCCATGCATGTTACGCAAAGCATAACGTCAAATTTATATGTGAAAGAAGTTTGTAATAATATAATTTTATATCATACATTGCATATATTAATAATATTATCAAAAGTCAAAGGCAACCTTCTGCTCCTGCCTACGAAATCTGTGGATACGGCCAACCATGTGTTGCACAACAGCTCATCCTCCATGCTCGGGTACCCCACCATCCTTCATACTCTAAAAAAAGATGAAGTTCGAAATAAGCTTAATGACGTTTGATCGGACACCTGCCGGGCGTGGTGGCTGTCATCGATGTCGTCAACAGGGAGCGGAGTGTACCTGGTTCCAGACGGATCCTGGGTGGACGACGCCATAGTACAAGGCGAACGGGCGCGTGGGTGGTGGTTGCGAACGTCCGGCAATGCCCGTGCGGCGGTCGGAGAGGTACAATAGCATCGACAGAGGATGAGGGCGCGGATGCAAAGCAAGGGGGAGAAGGGGTGGAGTGCAAGAGAATGGGGCCGGGAGTAGGATTTGAGTGGCACAGGAGTGTCGGAGTCCTACATGGTTGTTGTCCAGACTATGCCTTCATATCAAACAAATAAGATGAATAAGAAAGAAAAAAGTAATTGCTTCAAATGTTACTACCTCATCAAATCACTTTCTTTCTAATAGTTACCTTGTAATTATTTTTGCACTTTCAAACATCTTAGTAAAACTGACCCAATCTTGTTCCATCAGGTATGTACCATAATTGGACATAATGTGCAGTGTGGTAGTTTAGATGAGGAGGAAACGGTAAATGTCAACAAGGCATAGGAGTATACTGATTCTTCATCAATCTACCACTTCACTCAAGGAGGTTTACAACTAGCTATGGCAGTTTGGAAGTTCCTAATTTGTTGCTTATTTGTTACTGCCTCATCAAATCACTTTCTATCCAATATGAAGGCGCATCTAGCTATAGCAGTGAATTATTAGTTTATTATGTGTAGTTTTGAATTCATTCATACTTTTAGGTTTAGGTCGCAACTGGCAGTCGAGTAGACGGTTGCACCTCATGAATCTACAGTTCTACACCCTAACCCTAAATCCATGAAGGGGAAGGAAAACATGGTTACCACACAGCTCAATATCATTATTTGACGTGTTCTCCCTCCTTGTAGTCAAAAAGAAAAACCGCACGCCAAACAGCAACCTATTGAGCTTGTTTGGCTTCCGTTTTTATGATTAAGCTGGGAGACAAAATCAGATAAGTTGGTTGGGCGTGTAACAATGACTTCTGAAATTTTGTTCCATTTCCACGTGACATGCTGATCCCGAAGCAGTGTGGTCTTCTTCCTCGCTCTGCACCCATTTGCAGGACATGCTCTTACGACAAGAATGTATAACTGCACAGGATATCATATCAGGAGCGGCACTATAAGACGTCATAAGAAAAACACAGCACAGGGTACACAAAGATAACTGAACTCGTGGTTTCGTGGTGATACAATTTACAACAACTCATCAGTCCCATACACACTGCCGAGAATAAAAAGCTGGATAGGATAGCCTTTGCGCGAGGAACTTGGCAAGTTTCATAGCCGCAGGCCCAGGTCTAAGAACATCCGTGCTACCCAAAACAGAACAGGGATTGTCGTCCCCAGCACCTATGCACCACCCTCCTGGAGCCGGCTCTCCAGGCAGGCGGTGTAGAATCTCCTCGTCGATGTGGTCGAGCACAGGGTCATCCTTGGCGAATCTAGTCCCGAAAGCTGCACTGCTCGCTGTCATGTTTTCCGCATCAGTTAGGGTCAGCAGACGGGGATCGTTTTTGGACGTTCCATCCGATGCCCAGTAGTGCAGGTCATGGTTAACAACGGTCCTGTTGAACTTAGGGGAATTGCAGAGGACTGTCTGGAAATACTTCCTGTGTGGCAAGGGCATGTTAGTGTAGTACATTAGCATAGTTCTCGGTAGATTATTTGTTCCGACGATACAATACTCGGTAAATTCCCGAGAAAGGATGACAGATGAAGAACCTGCAAAGAGACAACATTACAAGTAAATACAGGTTTATTTGCACCATTATAACCAACAAAAAAATATCATATTAGTACAAAACAATATCAAAAGGAGCTTCCATCATAGTATACATGCAGATTAGTGAAATACTCCCTCCGTTTCAAAAAACTTGTCGTTGTTTTAGTTCAAATTGGAACTAAAATCACGACAAGTATATATTAGAACCATTCCAGTTGTATAAGAAATACAACTATACCTCCAATCATACACATCACAGTTATATGTACTGTAATATCTAACAACACAATTATGGCAGGTATTTGGCTAGTTAGGTAAAAGAAAACAACAACTAAAAATGCGTACAAGGAATTCAATGAAGTGAACTGTTGGGAATCTCAAAAAGGAAGTGAATAGTTAGACATTTAAGAATACGAATTTGTCGAGTAAAATGGTATAAACGTTCAGAGCTCTTGCAGTGACAGGAAAAGCAACATGAGAATGGGGTTAGGGTTAGCCTACGATAGCCCTGTATGACAATAGTGTCCTTCTCCTTTACATATCTATCATATCAACCCTGAATTTATTTCCATAGTGTTGACACGCAAGGATAAAGTTGCATACAAATATACCCGCAAAAATTTAACACAAGGATCTACCGTACGGTCCAAGGTTTAACTTAGTTTGCACGCATCTATGCTTTCTACAAGTGCTCCGCAGCCATTCTTTTCCTTACTTTATTCTGCCAATTACTATGCACTTATTAGCATATACATCAACACTGAATATCATGTTTCTAGTGCAATTTTTTATTGTCAATAAACAACATCAGTTTATATCAGGATGTTCAAACCTTCATTCAAGTAATTCTTACAAGACCTCCAGAGATTTAAAATGGAGCTTGGAGTGTTCAAATATATGTTGTTCGACATATACTAGTTTGCACATATTACCATGAATAGGCATACCCTAGAAACAACAGTTTAATCTGATGAGGAGATCTTATCATAATGTGATGGTGTGCAAGTATGAATCAGATAAAGGCATAAAGCAATTACAACCCCAAACATACTAAACGCCTTCTAAAAATAAGTACCATGAATATAGCAATAACATCTTCATGTGGTATTGGTTCAGGTGGTACAGTAGTAAAGCAAAGATAACTGTGACAAACTATGAGTCGATGCTTGATAATATAATGCCATGCATGAATAACCATTAACCAACGGTCAGGTCAACGAAACACACTAAACGAATAGATGATTAAGAATTTTCCACCTGTATACTCAAATGTGTATCGTGACACCATTAGCATCATGGCATATAATATATGATTCCAGATTTTCTCAAACATAATGGGAGTATCTACTGACAAATATAGAAATGCATTAGCATCTCACCGGTAAATAATTTGTATGCACTTGGTAGTTCACGCTTTTGAGTGGCATAAAAAATGTCAGTCCTTGATGAGAGGTATAGACCAGGATCAACAACAATTGGTCTTATATGTCTTGACCTGCACAGACATACAATGCCAATATCTTGAACTCCCAAATCCGAATGAACAAAGTGACAATTCAGAATTATGAGATGCCCTTACTCCTTCCAACCAATATAACTGGTATGCTGAATGAAGTTTATATCCCTTGGTAGATATGATAAGACATGCAGGAGATCTGCCAAAAAATTGTAGTCAAATCAGCTCAGAAGAGTTAAGTCCTACAGAGTACAGATTAAGCTTCACCTAATAGCTGATTAGCTGTTATTAGTTCCCACTTAGGATTAATGAAATGCCAATACATGAAAGCTATCTACCATTCTGTTCTACAATTTTATAACCAAGAAACTCTATAAAGCAGTAGCAAGACTCTTTTAGAAACAATATAGCAAGTTCCACTGTTTCAACTTCAACAAGCAAAGCCAATGCATGTGAAATACGGCAAATACTCAACAAGCCTGAACATGAGGCATGGACTTATTTTTTTGTTCTACTTCCTCAGCTCTAGGTTACAACAAAACTAGTCCTCTGTCTGGGTCTAATACAAAGCATAAGAGATAGCAATTATCTTCTGGAACCAGATTAGATCACCATTTTCATGCCACCTATGCCTACTCACCCGAATAATTTCCAAATCATTCTAGTAAGTAACGTTTTAGGGAGGGAAAGCAAAAATAAAGTAGCATGATGGAAAGATATTTATGCTACCGAATAGTAACGCATTTCCATTTTGAATTCCTTCTTTCGACGCATTAAAGAGTGAATACAACAGACCAAGTAGCATATGCTCCACATACACACAGATGTGGTTGCATTTTTTTTTCTCGACGACACGACATAAGGTAGAGCAAGCGTTAATATGATTCTGCCATGACATTTTGTGGTTGCCAGAGTTAAACAAGAATTATTATTTTCCACTATGACAATATGATTCTTGAAACACTTAGTTCATTCAATCCCTAATGCATTGAAGTTTATCTAGCTAATGCCTACTAGTACCCTAATTTAGGGTCCTTTATGCTCATTCAATCAAGAGAGATCTATCTACATTAAACACTCATCTATCTCACACATAAATAATCCCTGAGAAGAAGAAGGAAATGGCAACTAGATTCACAGTTCTGTACTAACAAGTAAATGTCTAGATCTGTGTAGAACAAGTGAATGTCTAGATCTGTGTAGAACATAAAGTAGGTGCGGAGCTCTCCTGCATGATTCAAAGAAAGAAGTAGGTGTGGAGAGAAGAATCACCGTCGGGGGTGACGAGCGGGTAGTCGCCGGCGTCGAGGTGCACGAACCAGTCCCAGCCCTGGCCGAGCCGCAGCAGCAGAGAGGCGCCGTGCAGCGCGGCGGCGAGCGCGGAAGCACCGCGCGGGTTAGCGAACCCAGGGTCGCCCACGACGTGGACGTTGCCGGCGCGGCCGGGGCCAGCGCGCACCTCGCGGGCGAGCCGCACGCGGTCGGACGCGGGGGCGGCCCGGTCGAGTAGGAGGAGGTAGAGGTTGCGGGGATGGTAGGTGGCGAGGAGCAGGCGGTGGAGGCGGTCGGCGTCGCCCGCTGAGCCGGTGAGGAGGAATGCGAGCGCGGGCGGGGCTGGGCCGGCGGAGTCGGCGCCGGCCGGGAGCGGGGCGCGGTGGGGCGCGTCCGGAGGCGCGGGCGTAGAAGGGGAGGAGGAGGAGAGGAAGTGGAGCAGGAGGAGGAGCAGGAGGGAGACGAGGAGGAGGCAGGGGAGCGGGCGGGAGTCCTTGGGGAGGGCGGAGGCGGCGCCCGCGGCCGGCGCGGGGGAATGCATGGGGGACGGAGGCTGCGCGGAGCGCAAGGATCGGGGCGCCGTGGAAAGAGGAAAGCTTTGCGAGTTCGGTGGACGGAGTGGTCTCCCTCGCGTTTGGTGCACCCGATCTGATCGAGTTGGTTCGATTTCGTGCGTTCTACTCTTGAGTTCATGAATCCATTATTTGTTTTCATTTCATCAGGAGTGACTATAATTTTACAGCCCCAATGAACATCCGCCTTTTTTTTAACACAGACGCAAACGCTCATATACACGCGCATATACTCATCCCATGAACGCACACACGTACATTCTATCCCTACGAGCATCTCCAAAAGACCGAGCCGACATATCGTCTTGAAATTTATGAAGTCACCGTACGCACCTCGTCGTCGACGAGAACGTCCCCTCCCATTGAATGCGCATCGCCGAAAATCCAGAAATAAATCCAGAAATAAATGCGAGCACCAGGATCTGAACCCTAATGGGCTGGGATACCATAGCCCCTCTTGCTATACAACCACATGTTGGTTCGCATAAACATCCGCCTTTAGATACGATCCGATCCTATCAAATACATGGTTATTACTATGCAACTTGAAAAAAAATCTGACAATTTTTTTGCACTACATGATAATTTCACTTTAGAACATGACAAATTTTACATAACAATATGGTAAATTTATCTGTTTTCGCATAACAAATCTGGATCGTCGGCAAACGCTAAAAATCCGACGTCGAAGTTTTAACATTTATCATAATTTAGTAGTTAGTACTTCATCATCTCTTCCACAGTTGATATTGGTAACCATTCGATAAAGATCTTCATGCTCCTATTATCTTTTTTTAAACTGCCCTTTTAACACTTTGTTCATTGTTTGGTGGGATCAATCCTATTGTAAAAGACCAATCAGAAAATTGAGATTTACGGAATCGACTTGTGGCTTAAGCGGCTCCTATGCAAAACACACCTTCTGCACTCCTCCTAGCAGAAAAAACTGAAATCAGTGAATCTCTCTAAAATCATGGAAGCCAGATCTTTTAACAATTGCCTTTCAGATATCCACAACATCCTGGTTACCATACTCAAGAATCATGAACTGAAACCCGGTTCACTGCCATTTGAGCAACATCCCGGGATGCCAAGACCTCGATCACAAAAGGATCAGAAATTGTCGTGTGCTTGGTGCATCTGATGTGAACCAAATTACCTTCATGGTCGCTAAGAATCCCCATCGAAATTGAATTTGATTCAACCATGATCACGCCTCTTCAATCTTTCCACGGGACGAACAACAACCTCATGTTCAAGAATCTCTAGTGACGACAAGAGCTTGTGAGCTAGCTACATCGATTTTATGGATGGTACTTTACCTCTTCATGAGCATACTTATTCTTGCTATTCATATTGCCAACATAATAAAGATAGTGATTGCACTCATCTTCTTGTCCAGAATAAATGTCAAGGAGATCCTTTGCCTGCGTACCTGGATGCAAAGTTGGTATCTTATCATGGAAAAAATCCCCTAGTTGTCTCACAGAAGAGTTTCACATGATCACATGTGCCTACTACATGGAATAAAGACTCATTTCCATTCTGCACATGGGTTAAAAATGCAATCTGCATGATGTGCCCTCCCTTCAACTCCAAAAAGGCTGGTAGCATATTCTTAATTACCCACCAAGAATATTTAGATTTTCGGTTGAATCCAAAGTTTCCATAAGGCCTTTCAAACTTCCGCATTTCCAAATGAGCTGGTAGGTGCATCACTGCATGAATATATTCTTTCCATTAAAGTGCAACATGTACAGTAAACCTCCCATCTCGTTTCTTGGCCCATGCTCATATATCATCAGCTGCATTTCTTGGCATGGGCATGTTCAAAATGGCCTCAACGCCAGGAAGGATGAACTATTGTTGTAGAAGTTCAGAACCCCCAATTTCCAGTCTACTCATCAATAAGATCGACAACTAGTTGAACCAGGTTATCCGACAGTCTACACATCACTCGCATAGATGATGTACCCTGTATACATTGGTCATGTCAGATTTTTGTGGTTCTATCACTACCAATTCGCCTAATCAATTTTAAGATCCTCCCTCCCTTTTACAATAGCTCACCAGGACTGGTGATGCACTTTGTGGGCACCCGGCCTGCGGAAAGTTTCTATCACGAAAATGTCATCCCCTAAAGACCCTCGCACACAAGCTCTCCGGCTTCACCAATAGTCGCCACGCCTGCTTACCCAACATGGCATCATTAAAGACGTCGGGACCCCGGAATCCTATTCCTCCTTTGAATTTCAGTAGGGACACATCTTGTCCCAAAAATGCCAATGCATTCCCGTTTATCAAGTGATCCAACCCACCAATACTTACACATGGTTGTCCTAACCTTCTTGCGCAACCCCTTAATGAGCTTGAAATAGCTCATAGAGTAGGTCGGTAACACTTGAATCAATTTTTTCAAGAGAACCACCTTAGCTACACCTGAGAGCATTTTTTACACCATCCTTGGACATTAGACCTGGACCTTTTGACTATATGTATAAGTAGTTGTTTAGTAATCCTTCCTAGGGCGGTCGGGAGGCCAAGATATTTTCCTAATAATTTTTTTCTAAACTGCAAGGCATATATCACTCCCCTTCTAATAGAAGCGGCACTGTTAGGGCTGGAAAAATAGAGTTTTTCAATTTATTTGCACTTTGGCCAGAATGATGCGTCTCCAACGTATCTATATTTTTTGATTGTTCCATGCTATTATATTATCTGTTTTGGATGTTTCATATGCATTAATATGTTATTTTATATGATTTTTGGGACTAACCTATTAACCTAGAGCCCAGTGCCAGTTTCTGTTTTTCCTTGTTTTAGAGTTTCACAGAAAAGGAATACAAGACGGAGTCCAAACGGAATAAAACTTTTGCGATGATTTTTCTTGGACCACAAGACACTCATGAGACTTGGAGTGCAAAGTCAGAAGAGCCACGAGGCGGCCACAAGGGTGGAGGGCGCGCCCAGGGGGTAGGGCGCACCCCCCAATCTTATGGGCCATTGGGTGACCCCCTGAGCTAGATCTACCTCCTATATATTCTCATATATCCCGAAAACTTCCAGGGGAGCCACGAAACCACTTTTCCACCGCCACAACCTTCTGTACCCGTGAGATACCATCTTGGGGCCTTTTCTGGCATCCTACCGGAGGGGGATTCAATCATGGAGGGCTTCTACATCAACACCATTGCCTCTCCGATGAACCGTGAGTAGTTTACCACAGACCTACGGGTCCATAGCTAGTAGCCAGATGGCTTTTTCTCTCTCTCTCTTTGATTCTCAATACAAAGTTCTCTTCGATGCTCTTGGAGATCTATTCGATGTAATACTCTTTTTGCGGTGTGTTTGCCAAGATCCGATGAATTGTGGATTTATGATCAGCTTATCTATGAGTATTATTTGAATCTCCTCTGAATTCTTTTATGCATGATTTGATATCTTTGCAAGTCTCTTCGAACTATCGATTTGGTTTGGCCAACTAGATTGGTTTCTCTTGCAATGGGAGAATTGCTTAGCTTTGGGTTCAATCTTGCGGTGCTCGATCCTAGTGACAGAAGGGGAACCCGACACGTACTGTATTGTTGCCATCGTGGATAAAAAGATGGGGTTTTCATCATATTGCTTGAGTTAATTCCTCTACATCATGTCATCTTGCTTAAGGCGTTACTCCATTCTTTATGAACTTAATACTCTAGATGCATGCTGGATAACGATCGATGTGTGGAGTAATAGTAGTAGATACAGAATCGTTTCGGTCTACTTGACACGGACATGATGCCTATATTCATGATCATTGCCTTAGATATCGTCATAACTTTGCACTTTTCTATCAATTGCTCGGTAGTAATTTGTTCACCCACCGTAATATCTTCTATCTTGAGAGAAGCCTCTAGTGAAACCTATCGCCCCCGGGTCTATTTTCCATCATATAAGTTTCCGATCTACAATTCTAGTTTCCTATTTACTTTCTTTTGCAATATTGTACTTTCCGTTCCATAAACCAAACATATCAAAAATATTACTTTACCATTTATCCATCTCTATTAGATCTCACATTGCAAATAACTGTGAAGAGATTGACAACCCCTTTATCGTGTTGGGTGCAAGGTTGGTGTTTGTTTGTGCAGGTATTCGGTGGCTTGCGTGTTTTCTCCTACTAGATTGATACCTTGGTTCTCAAAACTGAGGGAAATACTTATGCTACTTTGCTGCATCACCCTTTCCTCTTCAAGGGAAAAACCAACGCAAGCTCAAGAGGTAGCAAGAAGGATTTATGGCGCCGTTGCCGGGGAGATCTAAGCCAAGCCGAGACATACCAAGTACCGATCATAAACTCTCATCCCTCGCATTACATTATTCACCATTCGCCTCTCGTTTTCCTCTCCCCCACTTCTAAAATGATTTTCGAAAAGATTCGCCTTTTCTTTGCCCCTCTTTTGTTTGATCTTATGTTGCTTGTGTTTCCATGTGCCTTCTATTTGCTTGCATCTTTGCTTGCTAAAAATCTATTGATATGGATCCACTCAAAGTTTTCTACCTGGACCATCTTCGATCCATATGTGCTCGTGCTGAAACCCCAATTAGTTTAGTTGAGGGAAGATCTTTAGATGAGCATGCTCATTTTGTGCGTCATCATTTGTCTAAAAAAGGGAAGCTCTTATGGAATCAAATAAATTGTTTGCTATGCTATGCTTGGAATCTTTGTGAAATTTATGGTTATACTTGTTGCTCTAAGAACCCTAAAAACACCTTCCCTACCTATGTGAGTTTAATGATAATGAAATATTATCTTCTTGTGAAAAGGGTGTTTGTAGTTACTATGATATCGAGAAAATTGAAGAATTTTTTGCTTTTAATGGTGCTTATGAAGTTTCTTCTTTGATTGAAAAGTATGATATTACTCTCTACAAATCTGAAATTTTTGACATACTTAAATATTGCTATGAAAACTATGCTCATAATGCCTATGTCAAAGAATTTATTGAGAGAATGACCATTGCTTTGGAAGAAAATAATGATATGCATGAATCTATAGATAGTTATGATTCCGATGATTTGATTGAAATATCCCTTAATGAACATGATGTTTGCTACTCTTGTGGCCATGATGCCAATATTTATGGAGATGAATTTGCTATAGTTCCTTATGTTAAACACGAGATTATTGCTATTGCACCCATACTTGATAGTTCCTTGAATCAAAAGCATGATTGCAATGATTTTACTATAAATTCTATTAATGTCAATTGTGTTAATAACATGCAAAACCCCAAGCTTGGGGGTGCTAGTTTAGCTATGTCGACTACTTATTGCAATGATCATGATTGGGGTGATAATGCTTCTTATGATCTTGAAAATTTATTTAAACCTCATGATGAATTTGATATTGATAATAATATTTATGATAATATTGAAAGTGGGTTTGGAAGAGTGTCAACTTTAGGAATTAATGATCCCACTACTTTGGAGATTGATCGATCTTACGAAGTTTTTGATAAAAGTGGGTTTGGAGAGGTCATGACTTTAGCTAATGTTAATCCCACTATTTTGGAAGAGTGTCAACTTTGCATGCATGTGGATCGTGTTGAGAATATGTTATGTGATAGCTATATTGTTGAATTTGCTTATGATCCTACATGTAATTATTATGAGAGAGGAAAATATGGTTGTATAAATTTTCATGATAATAAATTACCTCTCTTCATGTTGAAATTCTATCGTTTCTTTCTTCTTCCTTGCATATGCTAGTTTTTGCTTGCCGTGATAATTTGTTTTCTTATAAAATGCCTATGCATAGGAAGTACGTTAGACTTAGATGTGTTTTTCACATGTTTTATGATGCTCTATTTTGTTTTAATTGCTATCTTTCATGTGAGCATCATTAAAATTATCAATGCCTAGCTAAAAGGCTTTAAAGAAAAGTGCTTCTTGGGAGATAGCCCAATATTTTTATTTACTGTTTTTAAATAAATATTTCATCTAGCCTCCGGCTAGATGTGGTTTTGTGTTTTAATTAGTATTTGTGCCAAGTAAGACCTTTGGGATAGCCTACGGTGATAGTTGATTTGATCCTGCTGAAAAACAGAAACTTTTGCGCCCAGGAGATTAGTTTTCATTTTTTACAGAAGTGCGATAAAATACAGATTCTTTTTTAAGAGGATCAATAAACAAATTTTATAGGACTTCCTAATTTCTAAGGATTTTTGGAGTTACATAAGTATTCGAAATATCCAGATTGCTACAGACTGCTCTGTTTTTGACAGATTCTGTTTTTCGCGTGTTGTTTGCTTATTTTGATGCATCTATGGCTAGTATCGGGGGGTATGAACCATGGGAAAGTTGGAATATAGTATATATTACACCAATATAAATTAAGAATGAGTTCACAACAATACCAAAAGTGGTGATTTATTTTGTTATACTAACGGAGCTTACAAGATTTTCTATTGGAGTTTTGTGTTGTGGAGTTTTCAAGTTTTGGGTAAGGATTTGATGGACTATGGAATAAGGAGTGGCAAGAGCCTAATCTTGGAGATGCCCAAGGCACCCTAAGGTAATATTCAAGGATGTCAAAAAGCCTAAGCTTGGGAATGCCCCGGGAAGGCATCCCCACTTTCGTCTTCGTCTATTGGTAACTTTACTTGAGGCTATATTTTTATTCACCACATGATATGTGTTTTGCTTGGAGCATCTTGTATGATTTGAGTATTTGATTTTTAGTTTGCCACAATCATCCTTGTTGTACACACCTTTTGGGAGAGACACGCATGAATCGTGATTTATTAGAATACTCTATGTGCTTCACTTTTATCTTTTGAGCTAGTCAATTTTACTCTAGTGCTTCACTTATATCTTTTTAGAGCACAACAGTGGTTTTATTTTGTAGAAATTTATGAAATCTTGTACTTCAGTTATATTATTTTGGGAGTCTTTAGAACAACATGGTAATTTGCTTTGGTTATAAAATTAGTCCTAATATGATAGGCATCCAAGAGGGATATAATAAAAACTTTCATAGAAAGTGCATTGGATACTATGAGAAGTTTGATTCCTTATGATTGTTTTGAGATATGAAGATGGTGATATTAGAGTCATGCTAGTAAGTAGCTGTGAATTTTAGAAACACTTGTGTTAAGGTTTGTGAGTCCTGTAGCATGCACGTATGGTGAACCGTTATGTAACGAAGTTGGAGCATGAGATGTTTTTTTGATTGTCTTCCTTATGAGTGGCGGTCTGGGACGAGCGATGGTCTTTTCCTACCAATCTATCCCCCTAGGAGCATGCGCGTAGTACTTTGTTTCGATGACTAATAGATTTTTGCAATAAGTATGTGAGTTCTTTATGACTAATGTTGAGTCCATGGATTATAGGCACTCTCACCTTTCCGCCATTGCTAGCCTCTCTAGTGCCGCACAACTTTCGCTGGTACCATAAACCCACCACATA